TGTCTATTGGGAAATGCTGCTGTTTGTTGTCTCTAGGAAATGACAATAAGTCTTCCACTGACCTTGAGTAGATGTCATAGTCTTATAGCCACATTTTTAGAAAAGAATTTCTTTTTCTGGCACATTAACTAGTCAGATTAATCTCTGCACAGTGCAGAGTGGGAGGGAGATGAGCTGTGGTGCTGTGAGTCATCACGTCCCCCTGAGCACTCTTCCTCACAGAGAGGGAGCTGGGATCTTCCCTGAGCAAGCATTTTGACCTCAGAAGACTTCGTGGTAGCATTGTCTGTGCTTGGCAGTAAGTCACAACTGGGATTTTTTGGAATGTTTGTGTATGTGTTGTGAATCCTTGTCAACCAAACAGTAAGAAGAAATTTCCTTTGAGGAAGTCTTGTCAGGTATTTTCTACATGCCTGGTTTCACTACATCAGTTGTCAGGTGGAGGGCTGGACCAGGTGTTTCTGCTGAGCTGTAGAGAATGTAAGAATTTCAAAGTAAGCTGAGATTCTTTTCTGTACTAAATCCTCATCTGTCTTCAGGCAATGAAACCCCATCATTACAAAATCAACCAAAACATCAAGTGTTCCACCAACCTGAAGATACTCAGGAAAAGGGCTGATATTGTTCAGCTTCCAAAGATTTTTCTGCAGGGAGTCTTCCACTGTCAGGCATATTTCTTTTCCCTTGCATTTGACCCTCTGTTTGTCTGTTTTTTTGGCAGGGTTTTACATGTTTGTGCGTCCTCATCACAAAGAGCAGTTCAAACAGACCTGTAAAAATTTGACTGGAATGGTCTGTGGAGAGGGAGAGAAGCAACTGCAACAGGAGGTGCAAGGGGAAGGGAACCCTCTGAGTTTGGAGAGCTTGTGCACAGAGGGAGAAAACAGCCATGCACAAGGTTGGGAGTGGACATTTGTCTCCAGTTTAGAAGCTGATTTATTCTAATGATGGGTGGTGTCCAACAGCTTTAGCTGTGGGCTAGAGCACTAGGTGTGTATAGAGGAAAATGAAAGCAATTGGCCATGTCCAAATTGTGTTGAAAACAAAACTAAGTGTATAATAGAAGACAATGGGAGATGGGGAAGGAAAGAAGGAAAAAATCTGTTAGGGTGCCATCTTCTTTAAACTGCCAAGTGCATTACAGGGGAAGGCAGAATTTTTGCATCTAGGTGGTGTGGGAGGAGTGGATAGAGATCTAGTCAGTCTAGGAAGAGTTTCCACTGAACTATTCCAGTAGAAAGGGTCCCTTTCAGTAATAATGCATGTTCTAGAATCAGAAACATCTGCAACCAAACAGTGTGGCATGAAAAAGTAGTTATTCAAACTGTGAAAAAGTAGTTATTCAAACTGTGGTTTTCTTCTTGTACAATAAGAACTTCCTGAACTTAGTGCTAATTGCTTTGTGGAGCCTGGGTATCATGTTGCACATTCTACTCTTTGTATAATGTTTGAGGTTGTTTTTTGGTTTGTTTTTGTGTTTGTTTGTTTGTTTTATAACCAGATGCAGCCACATCTAAAGGTGACATGCCAGAGAAAATTCAGAGGAAGATTTCCTCCTTCTGCTTCACCCAGAAAAATGAACCTGAATTCCCAAAGACCCAAGTACCCAAGGAAGCCAGTAAAGTGAGAGCCCCCCCAGGCTCTGGAGCTGTGCCCATCTTCCCCTTAGAGATGGAGCCAGAGTGTGGTAGGTATAGGTGAGGTTTTGGATGCAATCTCTAATGCTCAGGAATAAAGATGAGAAGTGGGAATTATGCTGGTGGTCTGTTAAATGATGACTAGCTCAGGCCTGCATTTGTTCAGGGGCAAGAATAGTGAGTGTGGTTTGCTAAGCAGAATTTGTGCTTTCTGCCTCTTGCATGTGGTCTCTCAAAGTACTTCTTTATCACAATGGTGTAATAAATTTACTGAGAACTTAAGGATTTTTTTGGGGGACAACTTCCTAGTAAAGCAAGGATATAACCTCAGATTCTAAATGGGGATCTGAAGCTCTGAGACACTGAATAAGGCAAGAGGGCCAGGTATTGCACTGGTGAGGTAGGTTGTGAAGCTCATGGTCATTTTTTCTGGCCTGCACTGGAGCCAGGTATGCTAGGAATCAGCTGTAAAATCCTCATGCATTTAGTCATTTCCTTCCTCTCTTTCTCTTCCCCCTCTCCCTGCCCCTCTCTGTTCTAGGAAGATTCCAGTGCTCTAAGTGCAAATCTGAGGATGATGTGCCTTTTAAATGCCCATTATGTGACTTCACTTGCTGCAAAACATGCTGGGAGCAGTCCTTAAAGGTTATCTTGATTATTCCTTTCAGTTTTACCTGAAACTGCTGGTGAAATTTGTGCTTTTCAGGGGAACCATGTGGATAGCCCTTGAAACAGTTCCTCTTTTTAGAGAGAAAACACTCAAATCCCAGTGGAAGATTTGTCACTTGTTTCATTGTTTTCCATGTTCTGTGGTGTGACTGGAGACACACCTCTGCCTTATGCTCTGCATTTCACACCTTTGCATCTTCTGAGCTGCCTCTGCATGTTTTGCTGTCTAGAACTACACAGGAAACAAGTGGAGTCAACTTGAAAAAGAAAGTTTATTTTTTTTACTTCTGAACCTTTTTTTTCTTGCTTAGTTTCTTATTTTTTTCCCATCTAAAAACCTCCTGTAAAGCACTGTCATGAGATGGGACAAACCAGGAACAGGCTGCCAGGGCAGTGGTGGAGTCCCCACCCCTGGAGGAGTTCCTAAGCCCTGGAGATGTGGTGCTGAGGGACACAGGTCCATGGAGACCTGGCAGTGCTGGCTTAAGGATTGGACTCTGTGATCTTAAAAGTCTTTTCTAACCTTAATGATTCCATGATTCTAAATTCATGCTTTAATATCTCATGTGTTCCCCTGTCCTCTGATTTTCCTGGCTGAGAAGACTGGTGGTTGAAATTCCTGATGTAAGAGGCTGGAATTGATCCTATAGTGCATGTGTTTGGTAGCATCTTACCCAACATTTGATTTGACAGCGAGGGATTAATAATTGGTGACCCTGAATGTGGAATTTTAATACAAGAGTTGAGTGGTTTCTAAACATTCATAGGTGATGAAGGTGGCTACTAAACAAGGGAGCTCAGGAACCTACAAAAACAGTACAAGAGGAGAAGAAATTTCTTCAGCCTGGGAATCTATAAGCAAGTGCAAAATAATCAGTCATTTCAAGATCCAGGGAAAGGTCTTTTTCTCAGAAAGAAGACACTGGATTATGTCAATTAAGTGTAGAAAATAAGCAGTATAATGACATCCAAGTAAAATATAATGACTAGGACAGACTTGGTCCAAGAGGAATGTAGAATAATGTCCAGACTGATGTTCTTAGGCATGTATCTGCTAGAGGGAATTCAGAATAGCTGTCCAGCTGAGCTTCATCCTCAGTCTGCTGTGCTGTATTCCTTGAAAAACATTAAAATCCAGAAGTGTTGGATTATAATATATATATAAGAAAGTACAAGACAGACAGAGGAAAGCATCTCATGGTTGCTGCACATCAGGCAGTCAAACCAATTGCCTTGAACAGATGTTAGCTCTGAATACTCATTTTTCCTTTCATGCCAAAGTCCAGTGGGGATGCAGAGCTGGCAGTCAGCATGCTCTGCTCCAGAGAGACTCCAGCAGAGCCATGCCAAGAATTTTACTAGCACGTGTTTGTGATCTCTGCTGCCTGAGACTTGAGTTAAAGAGCAGAATGAGCTCCCTGGAGAGGTTTTCTTTTGTTAGGCAAGCATTTGTTATCCCACAGGGTGGTTAGGTTGTCATCTCAGCTCATAAAGCTTTATCTTACGTTTGGGGAAAAGCTCCCTCCTTTTTCCCAGTGAGTTGTAACTTTTATCAGCCTAAGAATCCACAAAATTACAACTGGTCTGTAGCCAGCAATTTTATTGCCCTGTTCTTTGAGTTTTGTCTTGAAACTGGTAATTCTGAGATGTGGTTTTCTTCTTAATCTCTGAGTTAGTGTGTGTTTCCATAGCTTTCAGATAAATGACAGAGCCTGTTTAACCTAAATCTATTTTAACTCTCCCCTTTATTTGGTTGCACATCTCTTGGACTGGAGATTAACCTAGTCAGGTCTACCAGGTTAGATTATTTCAGATTCAGGTACTTGAGTGCAGCCAAGGTGGTGATGAGGCTGGAAGGAAGGTCCTGTGAGGAGGGCTGAGGACTCTGGGCTTGTCCCATGGGGAGAAAGGAGCCTGAGGGGGTGACCTTAAGGCTCTGTGCAGGGGCAGGGAGAGGAAGGTGCTGAGCTCTTCATGGAATCCAGTGGCAGGAGGTATGGGAGCAGTTCAGAGCTGGCAGGAGGTTCAGACTGGATATCAGGAAACATTTCTTTAGCCAGAGGGTGCTGAAAAACAAACAGGCTTCCTAGAGAGTTAGTCAGTCCCCCAGTGCCCTTAATCATGTGTTTTAACTTTGGTTCAGCTGAAACGTGGTGAGGCAGTTAGACTAGATGATCAAGGTAGGTCCCTTCCAATTGGAGGTATTCTTTCTGTTCTCTTCAGACAGCTGATGAAAAACCACGTGTGGGGAAATGAGTCACTCCCAGTGGGTCATTTATTCATGACTTTTCATATTTGCAACTTACCTGAATAACCTTGCTAGTCACAGTGAAACTTCATCCCACATTGGCCCACATGGTAGCAGGGGAAAAAAAGTCCCTGTTTGTCTAAGTAAGGTGAATCAGAGTTTTGCTCCATGGGGACCATACCACAGCCCTGGGAGGTGGATACAGTCTTAAACAAGATCAGGAAAAACAGATACAGTTTGGAGGAAATCAGAACATAATAGTAGATATACTGAGTCAGAGTAAAGGTCTGTCCCACCTACCATTCCATCCCTGCCAGTGGCCAAAAAAAGATGACTAGGTAGGAAAGAAGAACATGGCAAGCATGAGTGATGATTCTTACAGGTGATATCCCTGTTCCAAATCTCTTCTTAGCACAAAAGCTCCCTGAGCCAAAGCTTGCTTCTGTGGATTAAGAAACCCCTGGAGCATTTCTCTCTCATCATCTGATTCCCTTTGAACACAACTGACCTTGGCATCCATTCCTTCAGCAGGCACTTCCACAGCTTAGCCAAGTGTTACAGGAAGAACCATCTCTATTTTTGTTGTCATTTTGCTTCTTGCTAGTCCAGTTTAATGCCACACTTTAAGAAGGACAAAATATTCTTCCAGTTCTCAAGCAAATGAGCTTTGGATACCCTGTCCTTCATTAAATGCACCTTTGGAGGTGTTGTGTACCCCAACAGTGGGATCCATCTGCATCCTCCATGGGCAACACACACCAAAGTCCTTATTCCTGAGAATTATATTCTTTTTCTTGCTCTGAACAACAGACTGTTGCACGTGGGGCATGTAAGAATGTTCTCACCAGCTGAGACCTTTCACTCTACTGTGCCAAGTGCCTCCAAGGCTCAGCAGGATTGACTTTCTGTTGCCTTTGTTATGGAGAACATGAAACCACATGGTCTTGGTCACCTTTTCTAACCTTATTTAGGACATTTCTGGTGGTGGATGTTCTCACTCTACAATAATGTTAGCTTGCTTATACAGTTCAAGTGTAGAAAAGTCAAATGTTTTGTAGTTTGGGCTATTGAGAGACACTTCTCCCAGTGATGAGCCAGAACTGTTCTACTCCAGTCACACAGAGGAGCAGGAAGAACAGCCTGGTTGAGAGCACAGGATTGCAAACAGGAAGAAGATTATTCCCTATTTCTCTGAAACCAACCCTAGAGGAACCATCTCCTTCCATCCCCATTCCCACCCATGGGCTGGTACAGACCATTGGCTCCATTCGTGGCTGTGGTAGGGGCACCTTTACCAGCAGGAAATGAGCAACCACCTCTGTGGTGTGTGAGCTCTGAACTCTCCTCAGATGGCATTGGGCTTTGTCACCACTGACTGGGCTGGATTGGAAAACTCATCTTCTTCTCTTTGCTAACAAGTTACTCACTACATTTCTTCAGCTGAAAAGCACTTTGGTGTTTCTTGTCCTCTGAGGAAGTGACTAACCACCAATAACTTGGGATTTGGAAATGGTCATGACTTTTTTCCTGATTTTTTTTTTTTGTTTTCCTGAAATGGTGATGGAGAAGTGGTGAATAATGTTGGAAGGTTGTAGAAGCTTTTGGAGGAGCAGGCAGAGTTCCCTGGAGCTGGAGGGGTGTTGGAGGGATTGGTGCTGGTGGACGTTGAGTGATCTTTGGTGCGTTGGGGAAGCCTCAGAGGGACCATGGATGTGGACTCTGCTCTTGGCTTTCATTTTCTGTGCAGAATCTTGCTGCTCTTTGGTGTTTGAGTGCATCATTTATTCCTGCTCTTTTTGGTCTTCCAGAAAGACTGAGTTCTCATTTGGACTATATAAACTGGGGAAATAATACACAATTTCACAGTTAGATATTCCACTTGCAATGTTCAGGGCTCTTTGACAAATCTCTGCCTGCTGGGAGGTGAAGTTTTTCTCTCCCCCTCCACTGATGATGTTTCAGTGGATGTTTCTAGAATCAGAATGTGAGTGCCTGAACCTGCTCTGGAGTCTCCATCCTTGGTCACAGTGGTTTAACTTCTGGTCTGTAGGAAGCCTGCACAGTGCCACTGGTGGAGGGAACCATCATTGGAGCCTCCTGGCAATTTTCTCCCAACTCATTTAAAGTTTTTTGTCACCTCAGTTTTGAAAAATAAAAGTAGTTCTACCAGTAATTTGCAAGATATAAAAAGAACAGTGGGGGCTCATCTGCAGGACAAATGGCTGAGGGCTAGGCTTTCAAATTGAAGATCAGTGAAGAAATAACCTGAAACCTGGGTGGGGGAATGGTTGCCTCACAGACCCAGTCTTCTAATAACTGAGAAAGGTGTGGAGTGGATGAAGAAATAAATGTATTGGGTTCCTCTGCAGAACTCTTGGTCATGACCACACTTCTCACCGATACCCTGGCATGCCCAGGAGGTTGCTTTCTACTCACTGCCACAAGAAGCAGTTCAGGGAACTGATCTTGGGGGATTTACTAACAGCAGCTGCACCTGCACTTCACAACAGCTCTCACAGGCTCTCTATTTCCTTGTTCCTGGGTTTTAGTCTTCCAGACGTGCCATAGTTGTAATTAATTTGAGACAACTGCTGTAAAGTTTGCTTCTACTTCACTGGGAGGGTTTTTTTCCTCCTTTATCACTAGCAGTTCAGTAACTGCCTGCACGGGAACACTGAGAGCCAACAGAATATGTTGGGGACTGTCAAATGAGTGGTGTGGCTCATAGCTGGGCAGTTGCAGGCTTGGTAGAGAAATTTAGTGTGTTCTCTTTGTTCATTTATGGATACAGATGGTGAAGAAGTGCCCAGGGTGCCACAGTGACGTGAAGAGGCAGCGACTGATCCAAGTCTTCTTCTGGTCATAGTCTCACTGACAGAAAAGGCAAGTGCTTGGTGTCAGCAGGGGAAGGGGCCGTGCTCTGGCTCCTGAGCTGAACAGGAGTGAGATGAAGGTTCCTTGAAATACCTTTGATCTTTGGCTCTGGATTATGTGTTGTGAACCCACAACGTGTCATTTCTTCCTGCAAAGATCAAGTCTGAAAGGTCTCTGTCTTCACCCACTGGCAGGAGACAAAGAACACTGGCCTCTGCTGCAACTCAGAAGGTTGATTTTTTCATTTTAGCCTGTAAATTTTACTGTGGCCACTCTCAGGCCTCAATTTAATATCCTGGAGGCAGCTGTCATTCATGGGCCCCTCGGGTGATGCCAGATCCTGGAAGAACCCTGGGAAGCAGTGCTGGAGTGGAACAGAGCTGGCCAAACGAGGGGGCAGGAGTGGGTCCTCACCCCACACTGCTGTTCCTGGAGGAAGTCCTTCTTACTCACTGTTCCAAATAGCAGAAGATGCTGAAAGGATGATTTTCAAAATATAAATTCCAGTGGTTGGCTGGTGAGTGTGAAAACTCCCTTGCATCTGCTGGGCATCCCAGAGCCTGATCCCTTCCATCATGCTGAGGTGGTTTTGAACTGTGCTTCTAAGGAGGCTTGATCTTCTACTCAGCCCTGGTACTGCCATTGTGCCTCTTGTCTGGTGCTTATTCTCCAGTAAGAAAAAGGAACTAATTGATTTTAAACTTCAAAATAAATCAAGTTAAATGGGTTAAGAAAAAAATTCCTTAATACTTCCACTCTCTGTGAGTAGTGGATGGTAAGTGGTTAACCTGAAAAATTGTGTCAACTTTACATCTTCACTAACCACTGTAAATTAAACTAGAAATAAAACCTTTTTTGGCTTAATTGGGTTTTGTTGAGGGTTCTTTATGGTTGTTTGGCTTTTTTGTTAATTAGATACAAAACCATTGGGTATTGAGGCCCAGGGGTCCTGGTAGGAATAAGAGGAAAGTTTTATACCCTGGGATTTTTGACATTTGCATGTTTTTGACCCAAAAAAAAAATGGGCAAAGGATTGTGTTCTTACTTGCTAATCAGTTTGGGGTTTCCTCTGATCAGAGAGACTTCATGTAGCATAAGTTTTCAGAATTTTCTGGGAGAAGATACTCTTTCATCATTTGAAGGGTGTGTTTTAACAGCCTGTGGGTGCATTTCCCACCAAAAGGATTTTCAAAAATTTTATATTAATAATTGATAACTGAACACTGAAAAGCGAGCTGCAAATGAATAAAAATTTCAAAGGTTCTTATTTCCCCTGGTTGTAGAATTCAAACCTGGTGTCACTTCATATCTCAGAGTTGCTGGGGTGTTGGTATTCACTGAGGAATTTCTGTTCTCAGCTTGGAATCCACTTCACATAGAATCCCCATTTAAATTGCATTAAAGTCTTGGAATAACTTGTCTGTGATCAAGCAGGGGCTCACTGCAGTCAGGCTGTGAAGAACAAGGAAAGTGATGTTCTGAAATGGGGGTGAGACAGGAACTTTCCATACTTCATTAACTCAGAAACAATGAAGATTTAGACAGGAATTAGTCATTTTGGGCTAGCATATATTCTGACAAGTCTAAATCTGGGGATGATTTTTACCTTCTACCTGTTCACTGCACTACTGATAGCAGTTTAGATTCTGAAAACAAGAATCAATAATGCAGAGAAAGTCCTAGAAAATGGAAATGTGAGTGGGGAAAATGACAGAAAAATGTCTGTTATATATATTTTGCTAAAATGAATAGAAAAAGGGCTGGAGCAATGTTGTCTAGAAGGCAGGAGTGTTAAACTCTTGTCCTTCAGAAGGACTTGGAGCTCCATAGTTGGTTAATGATGGTAAATGATGGCAGAGCTGTGTTTTGCTGGGCTGGATTCCTGCCAGCA